GGGTGAGGAGGTAGAGGGGAACAGAATCAGGGTCCCAAGTAGGAATATGCTCAGTACCTGTCTGAAATCCCCAAAGTACAAGTTGCCTTCTGTGAAGTCTTTTCCCAGAGAAACGTTTAAAGTGACTTCTGCATTGTCATAGTGAGAGCTCAGATCCAGGTCTTCATGTAGTGAGTACTTGACCACAAATGCTTTATGGCTGTCCAGACAGGCTCCCCCCAAGTCAGGATAAAGCAGGGCAGTTATGGGCTGCAGGTATTTTTCACGCAGGGGTGTGATGAGGGTTTCATCCATCCCCAGCTCATTTAGCAAAACCTGTCTCAAAGAGAGGAGGTGGAGAGAGCTGACAAACTACATCATCAGAGCTGTCCTGTTCTCTTCCAACCCTGACACTCACTCAGGTAAAGAACTTTAGAGCAAAGGCTCCAGCTACAGGCAAAAGAAGGAAGATCAAGTGGAAGGTGGTGGGGAAAAGCCAGTAAGATCAAGAGTTGGGTGTTCTTTAGAACCTGACTTGATTGCTTAAATACAAGGTGCTCTTTGCCTTGAGATACCAAGTCCCATCCCTTTTCCCTGCCTTCCCCTGTCCTTTTGTCCAGGTTACACACATTCCCTCAACCCCTTCACTTCAGGGGGGCTGTACTCAAACTGCACTGTGATCAAACTACAGAAATTTTGGAACAGGACGGAGTGTGAAGAGGTAAACAGTCTGCTTGTGAATACTCCCCCTAAAGAAGCACAGAAGAGAGTGAGTCCTACCCCATAGTTATTCATAGTGTTGGGCCTGCCTTTAGGCATATCCGACTGCTCAAAGTTCTCCAGCTCCTCCACAAAGGCTTGGCAGAACTCCTCTGTGAACACCGGCAGTCGATAGATCCTCTTGTCTGTCAAGAGAAGGGAGACACTGTTTGATGGGAACTGTTCTTGGCTGTCATGCTGTCTGGCCAGACTCTGCTGGACTCGGTGAGAACACAGGGCCCACGTGCTTCACTTTGTGCTCAGGCTGCTCAAAGGGCTGGAACCGTTCCCTGGGATCTGCTCTGGGATGTATTTGTTGGTTTTCGTGTTGGCCCCTGGTTTCCAGGCTCCCCATCCAGCCAGGGGGTCTGGGACTGATTTCAAGGGCTGCTGCAGGTGCTAAGGAAATGTTTTGAGACTTTAGAGGAGGGCAGTGAATCAACAGCTTATCACAGGCAAATACTTCACAAAGTCCCAATACGGCCTCCTGGAAGAAAGAGACTCAAGGTCATTTAGGGGATGTAGGATTGAGTCTTCTGGGCAGACACAGCCTTCTGAGCTTGCCTGTCAGGGAAGAGCCCTAAAGGTCTGTGTAAGGGCAGCTCGGTGTGGAGGGTATAGGGGCTGAGATAAAGACAGCATGAAGAGGCTGAGTGGCTGGCAGTCGTGCCTTGGGGAGAACCAGGAGCCCCCAACG